GGACCCCCACCCACCCTCTGCTCCTTGCTGTTCCCCTGCCACCCACGCAGCCCCGAGGCGGGAGAAGCCTGAAATCTTATTTATAGTGCAAAATGCCAGCCCAATCCCGGGTTGGGGGGCCTGGAGGGCTGGGCTGGGGGATCCCTGGGGTTGTGACCCCCTTGTCTGACTCCCTAACACTCCCACGGTGCCAGGATGGAGGCTCTTGGCTGATGTGGGTTGGCTCAGGGGGGCAGAGCTGGAGACCCCAGCATGGGCAGCGTGCCAGTGCAGGAGCTGGGGGGGTTCAGTTCCCCCAGGGGAGTTGGGGTTGCCCCGTGCTCGCCCTCTCTGCAGCGAAGCCAATCGATAATAAACTGTGTCTTCTCCTCACTGGCCCCTGTGTTCTCCAGGGTGTCGCTGGGCAGGTGGGATTGGGCATTTTGGGGAGAAAAAGGGGGTTTTTCACGTCAGGAAGATGCTCTGTCTGGGGGAGAGGAGGTGCTGTGCCAGGGCTCCTCCCAGGACGTGGGGTCACACCCCGGGGCATAGATGGTGTCCCCATGGATGTCACCAGGGATGGTTTTGGCTGTGCCATGAGGGCTCCAGGGATTCTTGTGCCACACCCTGGCCTGGGGAGTCTCCTTGCAGAGGGCTCCAGGTGGAGGATGGGACTCTGCAGCACAAAGCCACCACCCATCCCCCCAAAAGAGCGACATCCCTCCTTGGCTGTGTCCTCCCGTGGAACCGGGGGTTATCACATGCCCTGTAGCAGCCACTCCATCATCCTTCCTCAGGCTCTCCAGCCGCCTTGGTAATGGTTGAGACCTGGATTTGACCATAATGGAGCTGAATTGATTTCATCTGGATAATTAAGCAGCACAGGCAGAGCCCTGGCAGCTCCTTTGTTACCCCCTGTGACCCGAGATAAGCAGGAGGAAAGCGGGCTGGAAGGGGAAACTGAGGCACGGCACAAGCTGGGAGAACTCAGGGGGTCTCTGCTGGGTGCTGAGGGGTTTGGGGCTGCCTTGGCACCTGGCTGTGCCCAGTGGTTGGGGTGGCACAATGATGGCAGGAGGAAATGGGAGCTCCCAGCTGAGCATCCCACAGCCCCACAGCGGGGTCAGGCCCCTCTGGCTCACCCCAGATCTTTGCTGAGGGTCCTGCCCCGGGAAATTGGGGGCTGCCATGGGCAGGTCCGGCTCTGCTGGAGCTCAGCCTGGTTGGCAGACCCCCCACCTGCTTCCTTGGGGTCTCTAATCGCTGCCCTCGCTGATTTATGACCTTTTTTCCCCCTCTTATCTAATTTGAGGAAGGAACTAGATTACAACCTTGAGCTTTTCCAGCCCCGTGCTGGAGATTGCCGCAGAGCAATGCCCCAAAAGGACCATGTGGGGTGACACCCCCTCTCCAAACAGGCATCTGCACCTCAGATTCCTCCATGGGGTGGCAATGCCTCCATCTCCCTCGTGGGCGCGGCTGTGCCTCAGTTTCCCCTTTAGAGCAGCCAGGGAAGAGTTAAAGTTCACCCCACGATCGATTTGATCCCCCCTCCCCTCCCTGCCAGCGAAGTTTCTGCATTGCAGCGCTCCGGGGGGAGCGGTAATGGACTCTGGCAATGAGGTAATTAACGGCTCCGCTCCCCGGTGGAACTGCCGCCCCACCGGCACCGGAGCCCGGCCCCGCTCGCCCGGTTTCACCGGGGCTTCCCGGAGCCCAGGCTGGTCGTGCAGCTGCGGGTGGGCACCACTCACATCCTGCCCCGTGGGTGCCATCCCGGCTGTGCCACCCTCCCGTGCCCGGTGCCACCGGCTCTGATGCTGTGGGGTTGATCCTTAGAGGGTCCCACTGCCCCCCAAAAGCTCCTCATGTCAGCGTTCAGAACACAAATAATCACAGGATATGATTATCTGCAGGTGATTTTATTAAAAACTCTGGAATCAGACCCAAATCTGACTCCAACACGGCTTCTGAGCGGAATGTATTTTATATTCTATCCTTACATAACTTACATATTAATTATTAAACTGATATTGTTCTATTGTATACATTGACATGAGTTTCTCGTGATCTTTCTTAGGCCCCTGACCACAGTTTCTCGTGATTATTCTTATGATTAAACAGCAATTATATTTAATTACTAAACAATCATCACATCTAACAATTATATCATTTATCATGTACTGGCTTCACATGTGCAGTTCTAGCAAGTTCAAGTTCTCCATGTGCTTAGGGTGTTTATTTTTCCTTTTAACCCTAAATCCCCATGATTTAAAAACCCTTTTACTATCACTAAGGGGTAGTAAGAGGATCAGCGATGTGTTTGGGGTGGTGTTTAGGGGAGCTGAGGGTCCTGCCCATCCACAGCCCCATCCACACCAAAGTGCACTCGGGGGTCTCCGTCCTCTCCGCTTTTGGGGCTCCCGGGGGGGCTGCAAAGGCATCTCAGCACTGAAGTGCCGCCTCGATGTCCCCGAGCAATATTCCCCCAGCCCTGGGGACACCTTAAAAAGCATTGCAGGGAGGGATGGAGGGAGGGGTCACTTCCCCAGCAGCCCCTCAGCTCCGGATGTCCCCAGTTTGTCCCATCTCCGATATCCTTTCCTATTCCTATTCCACCGCCCCTGCTCCGGGAGCGCCGTTTTGGGGTGGGTGGGCTTGATCCTAATGGAGAGGCGAGGGGGGCGGGCAGCCGAGTCTCCCCGGGATGTGAAAATCGTTGGGAGTGATTAGAGCTGTTCCTGTAACGAGCAGAGCAATTAGCGGCGCCTCGGGAGCCGCCGAGGCCGCTAATGTGTGCTGGGGGTGGGGGGCAGCTGGGTAAGGGGTCCCGGGGTGGGGGGAACGCGGTGTCACCCGTGCTGACATGGGGATTTCGGGTGAGGGGGTGAGGGGGTGAGGGGGTGGCTGCAGTCCTGGGGTGCAGCCAGGACCCTGAGATGTGGGGATGCTGTGTGCCCGGGATGTGGGGGGGACGTGCACCCGAGATTTGGGGGTGCAGGAATGAGGTGTGCCTGGGATGCAGAGAGGATGTCCTGGGATGTTGGGATGATGTCCTGGGATGCAGGGATGATGTCCTGGGAGGTTGGGATGATGTCCTGGGATGTTGGGGTGATGTCCTGGGATGTTGGGATACAGGAATGATGTGTCCCTGGGATACAGGGATGTTGTCCTGGGATGCAGGAATGATGTCCTGGGATGTTGGGATGCAGGGAGGATGTGCCAGGGATGTTGGGATGCAGGGATGATGTCCTGGGATGCAGGGATGATGTGCCAGGGATGCAGGGACAATGTCCTGGGATGTTGGGATGCAGGGATGATGTCCTGAGATGCAGGGGTGATGTCCTGGGATGTGGGGATGTTGTCCTGCGATATTGGGATGCAGGAAGGATGTGTCCCTGGGATGCAGGGGTGCTGTGCCAGGGATGTTGGGATACAGAGATGATGTCCTGGGATGCAGGGATGCAGGGATGATGTGTCCCTGGGATACAGGGATGATATGCCAGGGATGTTGGGATGCAGGGATGATGTCCTGGGATGCTGGAATACAAAGATTATGTCCTGGGATGCAGGAATGATGTGTCCTTGGGATACGGGGATGATGTGCCAGGGATGTTGGGATGCAAGGATGATGTCCTGGGACGTGGGGATGATGTCCTGGGACTGCGGGATGCATGGATGATATGTGCCCAGGATGTTGGGGTGATGTGCCAGGGATATTGGGATGCAGGGATGATGTCCAGGGATGTTGGGATGCAGGAATGATGTGTCCCTGGGATACAGGGATGATGTCCTGGGATGTTGGGATGATGTGTCCTGGGATGTTGGGATGCAGGAATGATGTGTCCCAGAGATACAGGGATGATGTTCTGGGATATTGGGATGCAGGGATGATGTCCTGGGATGTGGGGATGCAGGGATGATGTGTGCCCAGGATGTTGGGATGATGTGCCAGGGATGTTGGGATGCAGAGATGATGTCCTGGGATATTGGGATGCTGTCCTGGGATATTGGGATGCAGGGATGATGTGTCCTGGGATTCAGGGATGATGTCCTGGGATGTCGGGATGCAGGAATGATGTGTCCCTGGGATACAGGGATGATGTCCTGGGATGCAGGGATGATGTGCCCAGGATGTTGGGATGCAAGGATGATGTCCTGGGACGTGGGGATGATGTCCTGGGACTGCGGGATGCATGGATGATATGTGCCCAGGATGTTGGGGTGATGTGCCAGGGATATTGGGATGCAGGGATGATGTCCAGGGATGTTGGGATGCAGGAATTATGTCCTGGGATGCAGAGATGCAGGAATGATGTGTCCCTGGGATGCAGGAATGATGTCCTGGGATGTTGGGATGCAGGAATGATGTGTCCCTGGGATACAGGGATGATGCCCTGGGATGCAGGAATGATGTGTCCCTGGGATGCAGGGATGATGTGCCAGGGATGTTGGGATGCAGGAATTATGTGCCAGGGATGTCGGGATGCAGGAATGATGTGTCCCTGGGATACAGGGATGATGTGTCCCTGGGATGCAGGGATGTTGGGATGCAGGAATTATGTGTCCTGGGATACAGGGATGATGTCCTGGGATGTTGGGATGCAGGAATGACGTGTCCCTGGGATACAGGGATGCTGTACCCGGGGTGTTGGGCACCAACCCCAGGCTCTGCTCTGCTGCCAGCCGCCCCTGCCCTGAAGCCAAAGGACACCCTGGTCCCCACATCCCCTCCCCACAGAGCAGCTGCCCCTTGCTCAGGGGGTCCCTTCGCTTGCCCCAGCCCTGAGGGTCAAGCCCTGCACCCATGGGTGCCACAGAGCCCTCGGGGAGGGGACACCAGCACCCCGCTGAGGGGCTGCACCAGGATGTCCCCACAGACCCCTGCCCATCCCGTGCTCTGTGAGAGCAGTCCCGGCCCTGCTGCTGTGCCAAAAAAAAAAAAAGAAAGAAAAAAAAAAGAAAAAAAATAATTAAGGGGATTTTTTTTATTTTTTTCCCTTTTCCGTAGTTGACTCCACGTCCAAACTTCCTGAGAGCAGCTCCAGCCCTCCCTCCGCTTCCGACGGCCGCGCTGCGCCATCCCGGCCCGGCCAGCCCAGCCCGCGGCGGGGCTCTGCCCCCGGTGCCACCGCGGCCCCGGCAGGTGAGTGCCACCCCCACCCGGGCACCCAGGGGTGGCACGGGGGGTGGCACCGTGGGCGCTGTGGGAGGGGACTGTCCCCAGGGATGGTGCAGGTTGCGAGGTGAGGGGTGGCTGGGGGACAGCGGGTGGGGTGTGGGGCAGTGCTGCGACACCCTGGGGTGACCCCAACGCTGTCCCTGCCCCTAAGTGACACCCGTGCCCCCCTCGCCCTCACCCAGCCGCATCCCTGAGGAAACGCGTCAGAGGCCAGGTTGTGGCGGAGGAAACACCGGGGCAGAGATAGCGGCTGGGGGGGGGGACCCACAGCGTGTCCCCCGTGGGGACAGGGCAGGGCTGCTCCTCTGGCCGCGCCCCACACGCTCCTTTCACCCCATCACCGGCGGGATGCTCCTCAGCCCACCCGCGGGGCTCTTAGGGGTGTCGGTGGGGTGAGGAGCGCCGTTTTTTTGGGGGGGATGAGCCCCGCGGCACCTTTTGATGGCTCCTGGTTTTTCCTGCCAGCATCTCCCCGTGGTTCCTGTTTTTCCCACCAATGCTGGGACCCCCACCCCGGTCCCCCCACCTTGCTGGAAGAGGGGATGGACCTGGGGCTGAACTCGGGGTTCCCCTGGCTGGGGCTGAGCTCGGGGTTCCCCTGCCTCTCCCCCCCCCCTCGGCAGGGTCCATGCGAGGGAATTTTGGCAGCGGCTGAGCAATTAATTCCACACTGCCGGGAGTTGAAGGGAAACGGGGGGAAAACTTTCCCACTAACAGTTTTTCCACCCAAAACCGGATGCTCTGGCCCCAAAACGCAGCGCGGGGTCTGGTGAGGGGGGGGATGAACCCAGGGAGGACTTTTGGGGTGTGATAGGGTTGGAGCAGCAAGGAAGCCCCGCTAAATCCAGCTGTGCTGACCAGGAAACCTCTGTTTCCTCCTTGGCACACGGCTGTCCTGCCCCGGTAAACAGCACGGGGGGCTCGGGGGGCTCGGGGGGCTCGGGGGGCTCGGGCCCTCCGGTTCAAAACGTTCCTCGAGCCGCCCCGGCATAGCCAGACCCTCTCTGGGTTGAGCAAGAAGCTGCTGGATCCAACACGAGTGGGAATAAACACAGAGCGAGTTGAAGTGGGGCCAGCATCCCCCCCTCCCGAGGTTGGGGTCTCCAGGACAGGTCGGGGTGATGCTCCCGAAGCTCCCCGGGGTGTGTCAGCAATGCTGGGGTGAGGCCGAGTGGGACCACCCAAGCTGCTGAGCAGCCGTGCCTCAGTTTCCCCTTGGCACAGGCCAGGAGCAGGGGGGCCGGGGATATTTTTTGGGATGGAGGAATGCAAAACCAGCCCTGCAGGGAGGTCGGATGAGGAGCTGGGGCCGGGGGCGGTGGGTGGGGAGCGGGAATGTGCGGAGGCACGGGCTGCAGCCGCGGTCTCTCCGGGCAGGATGCTGCTGCGGGCCGCGGTGCTGGCGGTGCACGCCGGGCTCCTGGCTGCCCTCCAGCCCGGAGACCCCAACGTCTGCAGCTACTGGGAGAGGTAGGACGAGGGGACAGGGGAGGGGGACAGCGACAGCGACAGCGGGGGGGTCTGCCAGGACTCGCAGTCACCCCGAATTTCCCCCCACCCGCAGCTTCACGGCGCTAGCGAAGGAGTCCTACACCAAACCCCACGTTGTGCCCTCCAGCGAGCCCTGCCCCGGGGGTCTGGGCATCCCCCTGCCCTGCCCAAAGCAGAGGTGGGAGCACCCCCAAGCTCCCCACAGACCCCTCGGGGACCTCAGGGTGTCCCCAGGGCTGTGGGGGGCTGGAGGGGGAATGTCCCACCCCAGGGTGGGACAAGGACAGTGAGGGGTTGGAGGGGGATGTCCCACCCCAGGGTGTCCCCAGGGCCGTGGGGGGCTGGAGGGGGAATGTCCCACCCCAGGGTGTCCCCAGGGCTGTGAGGGGCTGGAGGGGGAATGTCCCACCCCAGGGTGTCCCCAGGGCCGTGGGGGGCTGGAGGGGAATGTCCCACCCCAGGGTGTCCCCAGGGCTGTGGGGGGCTGGAGGGGGAATGTCCCACCCCAGGGTGTCCCAAAGGCTGTGAGGGGGCTGGAGGGGGAATGTCCCACCCCAGGGTGGGGGAATGTCCCACCCCAGGGTGTCCCAAAGGCTGTGGGGGGCTGGAGGGGGAATGTCCCACCGCAGGATGGGACAAGGACAGTGAGGGGCTGGAGGGGGAATGTCCCACCCCAGGGTGTCCCCAGGGCTGTGGGGGGCTGGAGGGGGAATGTCCCACCCCAGGGTGTCCCCAGGGCCATGGGGGGCTGGAGGGGGATGTCCCACCCCAGGGTGTCCCCAGGGCACTGGGAGGACTGGAGTGGGGCTGTGCCCATGGCCAGGGGGGCTGGGAGGGCTGTCCCAGTTCAGGGTGTCCCCAGGGCACTGGGAGGACTGGAGGGGGACTGGGAGGGCTGTCCCAGTTCAGAGTGTCCCCAGGGCACTGGGAGGGCTGTCCCAGTTCAGAGTGTCCCCAGGGCACTGGGAGGACTGGAGGGGCCCTGGGAGGGCTGGAGGGGCCCTGGGAGGGCTGTCCCAGTTCAGAGTGACCCCAGGGCACTGGAAGGACTGGAGGGGCACTGGGAGGACTGGAGGGGCCCTGGGAGGGCTGTCCCAGCACAGGGTGACCCCAAGGGCAGGGGGACAGCACGGTCACCGTGTCCCCTGGTGGCACAGGGTGGCGTACCGCACCGAGTACCGCCAGGCCATCCGCACCAGCTACCGGCGGCGCTACCAGTGCTGCCAGGGCTACTACGAGAGCCGGGACTCCTGTGCCCGTGAGTGGGGCCGGGGCTCCAGGGGGGCTCTGGGATGTGTCCCCAGGGTGCAGGGTGTCCCCAGAGCTCCCTGAGGACACCCTCTGCTCGGCCGTGTCCCCCCAGCTCACTGCAGCCAGGAGTGCGTCCACGGCCGCTGCGTGGCTCCCGAGCTGTGCCAGTGCGAGCCGGGCTGGCGCGGCCCCAGCTGCTCCAGCGGTGAGGGCTGGGGGCAGCTGGGCACAGCTGGGCACAGCTGGGCACAGCTGGGCAGAGCTGGGCTGGGCACCCCCAGCCAGGGGTGGCAGAGGGGGCAGTGGGCTGCCCTGGAGGGCTGGGCGGCCACGGTGCGGCAGCCAAGGGGTTAACGGGGATGGGGTCGGGATGGGTTGGGGTGGGGAGTGGATGGGATGGGAATGGAGATGGGGGTGGGTCGGGAATGGGGTGGGCATGGGATGGGCATGGAGAATGGGATGGGTTGGAAGGGGGATGGAAATTGGGATGGGGAGGAAGAGGGGATGGAGACTGGGATGAGTTGGAATGGGGATGGAGATTGGGATGAGGAGGAAGAGGGGATGGAGATTGGGATGGTTTGGGATGGAGATTGGGATGAGGAAGAAGAGGGGATGGAGATTGGGATGGGTTGGAAGGGGGTTGGAGATTGGGATGGTTTGGGATGGGGATGGAGAGAGGATGGAGAATGGGATGGAGAGGAAGAGGGAATGGAGACTGGGATGAGTTGGATGAGTTGGGGATGGAGAATGGGATGGGGAAGAAGAGGGGATGGAGACTGGGATGAGTTGGAATGGGGATGGAGATTGGGATGGGAAGGAAGAGAGGATGGAGAATGGGATGAGTTGGGATGGAGAATGGGATAGGGAGGAAGAGGGTATGGAGATTGGGATGAGTTGGAATGGAGATGGAGATTGGGATGGGTTGGAACGGGCATGGAGATTGGGATGGGCTGGAATGGGGATGGAGATTGGGATGAGGAGGAAGAGGGGATGGAGTTTGGGATGGGTTGGAAAGGGGTTGGAGATTGGGATGGTTTGGGATGGGGATGGAGAGAGGATGGAGAATGGGATGGAGAGGAAGAGGGAATGGAGATTGGGATGAGTTGGAATGGAGATGGAGGTCAAGATGAGGAGGAAGAGGGGATGGAGATTGGAATGGGTTGGGATGGAAATTGGGATGAGTTGGAATGGGGATGGAGACTGGGATGAGTTGGAATGGGGATGGAGACTGGGATGAGTTGGAATGGGGATGGAGACTGGGATGAGTTGGAATGGGGATGGAGATTGGGATGAGTTGGAATGGGGATGGAGATTGGGATGGTTTGGGATGGAAATTGGGAGAGGTTGGAATGGGGAAGGAGAATGGGATGGGGAGGAAGAGGGGATGGGAGCAGGGATAGGATGGATGGGAATGGGGTAGGGGTAGAGATGGGAGGAGGATGGGATGGGAATGGGGATGGAGATAGGGAAGGGACATGATGGGAATGGACATAGCACGAGGATGGGGTGGGGTGGCATGGTGACAAGATGGGGACTGAATGGGCATGGATGGAGGGTTGGCAATGACATGGCATGGGATGGGATGGGATGGGATGGGATGGGATGGGATGGGATGGGATGGGATGGGATGGGATGGGATGGGACGGGACGGGACGGGACGGGACGGGACGGGACGGGACGGGACGGGACGGGACGGGATGGGATGGGATGGGATGGGATGGGATGGGATGGGATGGGATGGGATGGGATAGGAATCACCGCTGTCTCCCCCACGCAGAGTGTGATGAGCATTCCTGGGGGCTGGACTGTGGACAGCGCTGCCCCTGCCACCACGGGGCACCTTGTAACCCCCTGACCGGGGTCTGCTCCTGTCCCCCCGGCTTTGCCGACCCCCTGTGCAGCCAGCCATGCCCACCTGGCACCTATGGGCAGAGCTGTCACCTGTCCTGCCCCTGCCACCACCAGGCGCCCTGCAACGCCTCCACCGGCGCCTGCCTCTGCCCAGTGGGGCTGAGCGGCCCCCTGTGAGTCGGGACCCCTCCCTCTGTGCCCTCCCCTCCTCTGCCAGCCCCAGGCAGGCTCTGCTCACCCCTCACCCCCCACAGCTGCGAGGTGCCCTGCCCTGAGGGCATGTCCTGCACCACGCCCTGCCCCTGCCAGAACGGGGGCATCTGCCACCCCTCCAGCAGCAGCACCTGCATCTGCCCCCACGGATGGATGGTAGGTGGGCTGTGCCCCTCTCCAGACACGGGCTGTGCCTCAGTTTCCCCTGCTGACCCCGGTGCTGCTTTGCAGGGGGAGATCTGCTCGGTGCCGTGCCCCGCCGGGCGCTTTGGGCCTGGCTGCCAGGGCGAGTGTCGCTGCCACAACGGGGGGCACTGTGACCCCCACGGGGGACAGTGCCAGTGTGCCCCTGGATTCACTGGAGAGCAGTGAGGGGGCAACTGGGGGAAAATGCGGGGATGGGGGGTCTGAGGTGGTGGGGGGATGGAGGGGAGGGGAATGTGGGGGATTGTGGGGACAGGGATGTGGGGCTGGGGATACACAGGGATGGCGGGGAGGGGATTGGGGGTACAGCGGGTCGGATGGGCAGAGGGAGGGGACACTTGGGGACAGGACATTTTTGGAGTGGGGGCCTATGGTCTGGGAGTAGGTGGAGATGGAGGTGCACAGGGAGGGGGCATCCAGGGGCAGGGCACAGGGGATGGTAGGGGGCACATGGGGATGTGGCACACAGGGACAAGGCCACCACCACCCAGGACCAGGTCTCCATGCAGGCCAGGCACCCCCAGCTCTCCCAGGCTGGCGTGCAAAGGGCTGGATGGACTCAGCTCGGGGCTAGGGGGCATCCCAGGGGGCACCCAAGCCATTGGTAGGGCTGTGTCACCACCTCTGCCCCCCGTGCAGGTGCCAGGAGAGGTGCCCAGTGGGGCGGTACGGGCAGGACTGCCAGGAGAGCTGCGACTGTGCCAACGGGGGCCAGTGCTTCCACGTGCACGGGGGCTGCCTGTGCGAGGCCGGGTACCAGGGCAGCCGCTGCGAGGAGCGGCACTGCCTGCCCGGCCTCTACGGGCTGCACTGCCAGAGCCGCTGCCTCTGCCACCCCCAGCACAGCCAGAGGTACGGCCCCGGCCCACCCCGGTGGTCCCAGCCCATCCTGGCACCCCGATCCCACCCCAGCATCCCAAAACTCCCATCTCATCCCAACACCACCATCCCACCCTGGCACCCCAATCCCACCCCAGTATCCCCACCCCAACCCCCCCATCCCACCCTGGCACCCCAATCCCACCCCAGTATCCCCACCCCAACACCCTCATCCCACCCCAGCACCCCAATCCCACCCCAGCATCCCAAAACTCCCATCTCACCCCAACATCCCCATCCCGTCTTGGCACCCCAATCCCACCCCGGTATCCCCACCCCAACATCCCCATTCCATTCTGACACCCCAATCCTTTCCCAACACCCTCATCCCACCCCAGCATCCTCAGCCCACCCCAACACCCCCATCCCACCCTGGCACCCTAATCCCACCCAACATCCCAATTCCATCCTGGCACCTCAATCTCACCCCAACACCCCCATCCCACCCCAGTATCCCCATCCCACCCGAGCACCCCAATCCCACCCTAGTATCCCCACCCCAACACCACCATCCCATCCTGGCACCCCAATCCCACCCCAGTATCCCAAAACCCTCATCTCACCCCAACCCCCCCATCCCGTCTTGGCACCCCAATCCCACCCCAACATCCCCACCCCAGCACCACCACCCCATCCTGCCACCCCAATCCCACCCCAACACCACCATCCCACCCCAACATTCCCATCCCACCCTGGCACCCCAATCCCACCCCAGCACCCCAATCCCACCCCAGCATCCTCATCCCACTCCAGTATCCCAATCCTTTCCTGACATCCCCATCCCAGCCCAGCATCCCCAGCCCACCCCAACATCCCCATCCCATCCTGGCACCCCAATCCCACCTCAGCATCCCAATCCTTCCCCAACACCCTCATCTCACCCTAGCACCCCAATCCCACCCCAGCATCCCAACTCCACCCCAAAACTCCCATTCCACCCCAACACCCCCATCCCACCCTGGCACCCCAATCCCACCTCAGCATCCTCATCCCACTCCAGTATCCCAATCCTTTCCCGACATCCCCATCCCAGCCCAGCATCCCCAGTCCACCCTGGCACCCCAGTCCCACCTCAGCACCCCAATCCCACCCCAACACCCCCAGTCCACCCTGGCACCCCAATCCTTCCACAACATCCCCATCCCACCCCAACATCCCCATCCCATTCTGACACCCCAATCCTTTCCCAACACCCCCATCCCAGCCCAGCATCCTCAGCCCACCCCAACATTCCCATCCCATCCTGGCACCCCAATCCCACCCCAACACCCCCATCCCACCCATCTCCTCCCTCTCCCACCATCCTCCCCTCCTTCCTCCCCCCCGTGATGCCCCCCACACCCTCACCCCCCCAGCCGGGCGCTGGCTGCATCACCAGGACCCCTTCCACCCCACCTGGGGAGGTGTTTCCTGCTCCCCCATTTGCAAAGGCCCTTCCCAGCACAACCAGTGCCCCGTACTGGGAGCACTGGGAGCACTGGGAGCACTGGGAGCACTGGGGTTCTGAGCGTGCACCCCCAGCTGCCACCCGATGCTCGGGGAGTGCCTTTGCCACCCGGGCTGGGCAGGGCTCTACTGCAACGAGAGCTGCCCCCCCGGCTCCTTCGGGCCCGGCTGCCTGCAGAGCTGCCTCTGCCTCCACGGGGGGGTCTGTGATGGCACCACAGGGCACTGCCAGTGCCCCCCGGGCTACACGGTGAGGGGCACGGGCAGAGGGGGGGCTGGGTGCTGCTGGAGGGGTCATGGGGGCTCTGGGTAGTTCTGGGGGGAATGGGGGTGTCTGGATGGTTTGGGGGCTGGGCAAGCGTGGGGTCTGGGCATTTCTGGGGGCAACATCGGGTCTGGACATTTCTGGGGACAACAGGGGGGTCTGGGCATCTCTGGGGGCAACAGGGGGGTCTGGGCATCTCTGGGGGCAACAGGGGGGTCTGGGCATCCCTGGGGCAAGGATGGGGTTTGGGCATTCCTGGGGAAAACATGGGGTCTGGGCATTTCTGGGGGCAACATCAGGTCTGGGCATCCCTGGAGGAAACAGGGGAGTCTGGGCATCCTCAGGGATGGGTTGGGGGTCTGGGCATCCCTGGGGGCAACATCAGGTCTGGGCATGCCTGGGGGCAACAGGGGGGTCTGGGCATCCCTGGGAGAAACAGGAGAGTCTGGGCATCCCTGGGGGCAACAGGGGGGTCTGGGCATCCTTGGGGGCAAGCGTGGGGTCTGGGCATTCCTGAGCAAAACAGGGGATCTGGGCATCCCTGGGGGCAACAGGAGGGTCTGGGCATCCTCAGGGATGGGTTGGGGGGTCTGGGCATCCCTGGGGGCAACAGGGGGGTCTGGGCATCCCTGGGGCAAGGATGGGGTTTGGGAATTCCTGGGGAAAACATGGGGTCTGGGCATTTCTGGGGGCAACATCGGGTCTGGACGTCCTTGGGGGAAACAGGGGAGTCTGGGCATCCTCAGGGATGGATTGGGGGGTCTGGGCATCCCTGGGGGCAACAGGGGGGTCTGGGAATCCCTGGGGGCAACAGGGGGGTCTGGGAATCCCTGGAGGAAACAGGGGGGTCTGGGCATCCTCAAGAATGGTTTGGGGTTCTGGTTATCTCTGAGGGCAGTTTCAGGATCTGGCATCCTTTAGGGGCACCTTTTGGGGGCAACTTGGGGATCTGGGCAACCCCGGGGAGAGCTTGGGGTTCCCGTGGGACAATGAGGGGTTTTGGGGTTGTCCACTTCCCCTACAGCGCCGGGTGACCCCCAGAAACGTGGGTGCTTTCCCCAGCCCTGGGCAGGGGTCTGAATTCTCGGTCCCCATGCCCAGGACGAGCACTGCTCCTCCCTATGTCCCCCCAACACTTTTGGGGTGAACTGCTCGGGGCGCTGCTCCTGCCAGCACGCCCTCGCCTGCTCCCCGCTCGACGGCTCCTGCTTCTGCAAGGAAGGTGGGTGCACAGGGGTCCTGGGGGGTCCCTGTCCCCATCCCCACACCCACCCCGCTGTCCCCTCATCCCACCCCACAGGCTGGCACGGACCTGACTGCTCAACGCCGTGTCCTGCTGGTTTTTGGGGTCTCAGCTGCAACCGGAGCTGCGACTGTGCCCACGGGGCGTCCTGCGACCCCCAGAGCGGGACCTGCCTCTGCCCCCCGGGCTGGCAGGGCCCTCAGTGCCTGCAGCCCTGCCCGGTGAGTCCTGCCCGCTGTGCTGGCACTGGGGGTCGGTGCCACCACCCTGTGCTGACCCCCAGTCTGTGCCCACACTCCAGAATGGCACATTTGGGGCGGGCTGTGGGGAGCGCTGCGTGTGCGCCCACGCCGACGGCTGTGACCCCGCGACGGGAGAGTGCCGCTGCCTGCCAGGCTGGACAGGTAAAGGGCACAACAGGTGTGGGGAGGACCCCAGGGTGCCCTCAGCCATCAGCTTCACCTCTCACCCTCCCTGCAGGGCGGCAGTGCAAGCAGGGCTGTCCCCAGGGCTCCTGGGGACGTGGCTGCCACCAGTCCTGCTCCTGCCGCAACGGAGCCTCCTGCTCCCCCCAGGATGGGTCCTGCACCTGCACCCCGGGTTACCGCGGCCCCAGCTGCCAGCGCAGTGAGTCAGCACCCCAAAAATCCAGGCTGATCCCGCCTTGGTGCTTAGGGGTCAATGCCAAGCTCGTCCCTCTGTCCCCAGCCTGTCCCCCCGGCCGCTACGGCAAACGCTGCTCCCTGAGCTGCTCCTGCGCCAACGGCTCCTCCTGCCACCCCACCAACGGCTCCTGCCTCTGCAGCCCGGGCTGGAGGGGTCCCCGCTGCTCCCAGCGTGAGTGGGGGGTCAGGGGGAGCGGTGGGGGGTCAGGGGGAGCGTGGGGTCCATGACTGAGATGGAGGGAGCCAGAGGCAGAACTGCCCGTGGGTGACTCCTGTGAGGTCCTGGCCTGGGCAGGACGGAGCCATGCAGGCCCCTGGGGACCTCCATGGTGCTGGTCACCTTGTGGCTGACTGGTCCCAGTATGGGACTTTGGGCCACCTTGTGGCTGACTGGTCCCAGTATGGCGTTATTGTACCACCCTGTGGCGAGCTGGTCCCAGTATGAAAATATTGGACCACTTTGTGGCTAACTGGTCCCAGTATGGGACTTTGGGCCACCTTGTGGCTGACTGGTCCCAGTATGGAGTTATTGGACCACTTTGTGGCTAACTGGTCCCAGTATGGAGCTGTTGGACCACCCTGTGGCTAGCTGGTCCCAGTATGAAAATATTGGGCCACCTTGTGGCTGACTGGTCCCAGTATGGAACTATTGGACCAGCTTGCAGCTAACTGGTTCCAGTATGGAGCTATTTGACCACTTTGTGGCTGACTGGTCCCAGTATGGAGTTATTGGACCACTTTGTGGCTAACTGGTCCCAATATGAAACTATTGGACCAGCTTGTAGCTAACTGGTTCCAGTATGGAGCTGTTGGGCCACCTTGTGGCTAACTGGTCCCAGTATGAAATTATTGGGCCAGCTTGTGGCTAACTGCTTCCAGTATGGAACTTTGGGCCACCTTGTGGCTAACTGGTCCCAGTATGGAGTTATTGGGCCAGCTTGTGGGTAACTGGTCCCAGTATGGAGCTATTGGACCAGTTTGTGGCTGACTGGTCCCAGTATGGAGCTATTGGACCAGTTTGTGGCTGACTGGTCCCAGTATGGAGCTATTGGACCAGTTTGTGGCTGACTGGTCCCAGTATGGAGCTATTGGACCAGTTAGTGGCTGACTGGTCCCAGTACGGAGCTGTACGGTCCCGCTGTGTCCCCAGCCTGTGCCCCCGGGACCTTTGGGCTCCAGTGTGACCAGCTCTGCCACTGTCCCCACAACGCCACCTGCGACCCCACCAACGGGACGTGTCCCTGCGCCCCCGGCACGGCTGGGCCCCGCTGTGAGGCTGGTGAGTGGGGACAGGGTGGGGACCCCCAAGTTTTTCCCCCACCCTGAGGACTGACCCTCCTCCCTACCCCACTAGGGAATCCTGACCTGCCCTACAGCATCGAGCCAGCCCCTCCTGCAGCCTACAGCCCCCTGGGCATGCTGCTGAGCCTGGTGGCCCTGGTGGCACTGCTGGTGGCTGTGGTGGCCACCAGCCTGTGCTACCACCGCTGGCAGAAGGACAAGGAGCGGCGGCACCTGGCCGTGGCCTACAGAGCAGGACAGACGGACACCTCGGACTACATGGTGCCAGGTTAGCAGCGTGGGCGAGGTGTGGTGGCCTCGTGGTGGCCCTGTGGCACCCGGCTGACTCCTGTCCCTGCAGATGTGCCCCCGAGCCAGCACGCCCACTACTACTCCAACCCCAGCTACCACACGCTGTCGCAGTGCCCGCTGCCGCGGTGCCCGCTGCCGCAGTGCCCGCTGCCAGGCCCCCAGGACAGAGCCAGCTCCCTCAAGGTACAGCAGGCTGGCACGGGACAGCACGGTGCGTGTGGGGCACTGCTGATGCCACCTTCGAGGCCAACTTGTCCCCTTTTTGGGCTCCAGGTGCCTGGCACGCAGCTCTTCCCTGGCGTGGAGATGCCCTACAGCCCCGAAGGCAATGCCACGCTGCCGCCTGACTGGAAACACCTCGGGCCCAGGGGTAAGGGGGAGGTGGAGGGGCAGCTCCAGAGTGGGGTGGGCACCTCAGTGCCCCCCTGATGCTCAGGGTCCCCTGGGAAGCGGCTGGGGTGGGGTGAGGGGAGAACTTTCATGCTGGGGGGAAGACAAAGCAGAGGGGACCCCAAATCTGCCCTGTGAACAGGGAGGCAGCTGGACAGGAGCTACACCTACAGCCATGGCCTGAGGAAGGGTGACAGCAAAGGTGGGATGGGATGGGATGGGATGGGATGGGATGGGATGGGAATGGGATGGGATGGGATGGGGATGGGATGGGATGGGATGGGATGGGATGGGATGGAGATGAGGAGGAGATGGGGATGGAGATGGGATGGGATGAGATGGAGATGGAGATGGAGATGGAGATGGAGATGGAGATGGAGATGGAGATGGAGATGGAGATGGAGATGGAGATGGAGATGGAGATGGAGATGGAGATGGAGATGGAGATGGAGATGGAGATGGAGATGGAGATGGAGATGGAGATGGAGATGGAGATGGAGATGGGATAAGATGGGGGTGGAGATGAGAATGGGATGGGATTGGGATAGGGATGGAGATGAGGATGGGATGGGATGGAGATGGGGATGGAGATGGGGATGGGATGGGTTGGCATGGGGAAGTGACATAATTTGCTGGGATGTGGAAGGGACAGGGATGGGTTGGGATGGCGAAGAGACGAGGCTGGGATGGCAAAGAGGCAGGGATGGGATGGGGAAGAGGCAGGGATGGGATGGGGAAGAGGCAGGGATGGGATGGGGAAGGGACAGGGATGGTTTGTGGCTGGGTTGGACCAGGACTGGATTACGGTGGGGATGTGGAAGGAACAGGGATGGGGTAGGAAAGGGATGGGGCTGGGACTTGCCTGAGACACAGCTGCTCCTTCTCCCCGTGCTCCCCCAACTCCTTCTCCCCCAGAGCACCCCTGGGAGGGGCTGAGGGCCAGCGCCAGCTCCCTGGCCAGCGAGAACCCCTATGCCACCATCAAGGAGCTGCCCCCTGCCGCTGCCAAGGCCCACGAGGGCAGCTACATGGAGATGAAATCCCCTGTGCAGAGGGAGATGTCCTACGCTGAGATCAGGCTCCTCGAGGAGCCACCACAGGAGGGTACGGCTGAGCATCCCCTGGCCCTGGTGGCCCTGGTGGCCCTGGTGGCCCTGGTGGCCCTGGTGGCCCTGGTGGCCCTGGTGAGTGGGGTCACAACCCCAGTGATGGGGAATGCATAGCTCCAGGAAGAAACAGCCTTGGTGACAGCCCCGTGGGGGACATTGGTGACGGGCCTTCATGACCCTGGGGGGAACGTGTCCCCTTGCAGCCTTCTCTTGTCCCCACAGAGAGCTGTCCTGAAGGCCCCCCCACCAGAGACCCCCCCAGCCACTACGACTCCCCCAAGAACAGCCACATCCCCAGTCACTATGACGTGCCCCCTGCCCGCCACTACCCCCCGTCCCCACCGCTGCGCAGGAAGGACCGCTGAGGGAGCCTGAAGGAGCACGGGGGGACCCACCACGAGGGGACAGAGGGTCCCTGAGGGGACTGGAGTACCCTGGGACTGCTGCTGTCCCTTTGCACTGGTGGTGAATAAAGGGTGTTCGGTGTGGATTTGGTGTTTGGTGTGGATTTGGTGTTTGGTGTTTGATGTTCACTGTGCCAGAGCTCCTCCTCTGGTGGGGAGGAAAGGGGGTTCTGGTGGGGTCCCAATCTCGCTGTGGGCTCCTCCCAGCTCCCTGCTCCCTCCAGGGTGTGCATGAGGTGGGAACACAAAAGCTTTTGGGTCCTGCTCAGAGTACGGCAGTGCCCATTGGACAGGGAAAGGCTGATGGAGCCCACGCTGTGCCAGGAGCCAGAGTGGGCTCACCCGTGGGCCTGCATGAAGCCCAGGGAAAGGAGAAGCCCTGAAGTGCCCCAGGAGGAAGAAGGGGCCATCTGGCCTGCAGAAAGGCTGGCAGAGCCATGGGAGGGAGCAGAGCCCCCAGAGCTGGGATGATGGAGCCCACTGAGCCTTTTTTTGATGGGAAGGAGAACAATCCCTGCACAGCCCAGCTGGGCCTGCCATGGACCAGCAGTGGGAGCAGGGACCTGCATGGTCCCACCTGTCGGAATCTGTGGGTATTGATGATTTCGAGATTGTGTAAAATCTCTGTTTTTCTGCTCCGTTGCCAAAGAAGAAGCCATAATTCATCTGTGCTGCTTTCAAGGTTGTTTATTCTGTTTATCTCTGACATGTTCTGCTGCCCTGCCGCAGCTCTGTCCTGCAGGGCAGCGTGTGGGGCTCTGCCCTCAGTGGGATGGTACAAACATTAAATACCACAAACTACCTGTGCTGGATTTACAATAACGTGCCAATATCTGTCACCTACGTTGAACAGTGTGTCCCCAGCCTGAACCAACAGAAAAATGCCAACACCACAGTGAAACATGGAGGGCATGAAGAAGGAGAAAAAGGACGAGACACACCCAATTTCCTCCATCTTGTCCCCTTTGGACCCCTAATCTAGAATCCTAAAATTTTATTTCTGCACCCATACCACACTTAATTATTGCTCATATCAAACACTCAGAGCTGGTAATTCATCCTGTAAGATTGAAAACTCTTTTCCATGGACAGAGATCACAGCCAGTGTCTCTGGGGGCTCTGTCCAGGGGGTTCCTGACCCCTGCCAGGGTCCCCGGGCAGCCAGAGGGAAGCTCTGGGTTCCCACACCACCAAGCCCAGGGTTCAAGGGGAACTGGAGTGACAGGACAAGGAGGAATGGCTTCAAGCTGAGAGAGAGAAGGGTCAGGTCAGAAATTCTTCCCTGTGAGGGTGGTGGAGCCCTGGCACGGGTTCTCAGAGCAGCTGTGGCTGCCCCTGGATCCCTGGTAGTGCCCAAGGTCAGGCTGGACGGGGCTTGGAGCAGCCTGGAATAGCAGAAGATGTCCTGCCCATGGCAGGGGGGTGGAACGAGATGAGTTTTAAGGTCCCTTCCAACCCAACCCATTCCATGATTCTGTGACTCTGCCTTCAGAATGACTTTGGCCCTTGGGCTTGAAGCAGGTTTCTCTGCCAGAAGTGTCACAAGGAGACACCAATGGGCTCTGGGAGATTCAGCTTGGCACGCTGTGAGAAACAGGGCTAGATGTGCTCTTGGAGAGTTAAACCCGTGGTTCAGCAGGCTGAGAAGATGACACAGCAGCGTTGGACACATGATTAAAGGAACGAGGGATACGTGGAATGTGAAACTGCACCACTGGGGAATGCTGTGCCCACAACGCTGCTGCTTCCATGGGAAAGCCGAAGCCAAGGTGAGCAAAAGCGCTGAGCAAACCTTGGGATTGTTCTGGTAATGGACTGGTTTGGTGGATGGAGTCCTGAGCCATGAATTGTCCTGCTGTTGTGGCCTCTGGGGCTCCCAGGGTGGGGAAATGATGCAAACAGGAGTGATGTTGTCTGTGGGCTTTACATTCTTAAGGATCGGTGTTGCCGTTGTTCATTGTAGAATTCCTCATTTGCTCTCTTCTAGCTCATCTCTTCCTTCTGTTCCCCAGGAGGCAATCACCCAGCTGGGAGAACTCCCGGGAAGGAGATGTCACGGGCTCTGAGCCACGGGGTGGTGGTGTTGTCCCAGAACAGGTCCTTTCACCCGGTGTGCAAGAGGCTGATCCACCCACAGGGCGAGGAATTTGATTTATTCCCTGCTCTGTGCAGAGAGCAGGGCTGGGCAACCGGTCTGGAGACAACAGTGGGACTGGAAGGTGAAATGTGAGTGATATTCGGCACGGGGAAGGGCACTCTCCTCTCCTCTCCTCTCCTCTCCTCTCCTCTCCTCTCCTCTCCTCTCCTCTCCTCTCCTCTCCTCTCCTCTCCTCTCCTCTCCTCTCCTCTCCTCTCCTCTCCTCTCCTCTCCTCTCCTCTCCTCTCCTCTCCTCTCCTCTCCTCTCCTCTCCTCTCTCCTCTCCTCTCCTCTCCTCTCTCTCCTCTCCTCTCCTCTCCTCTCCTCTCCTCTCCTCTCCTCTCCTCTCCTCTCCTCTCCTCTCCTCTCCTCTCCTCTCCTCTCCTCTCCTCTCCTCTCCTCTCCTCTCTCTCTCCTCTCCTCTCCTCTCTCTCTCCTCTCCTCTCCTCTCCTTCTCCTCTCCTCTCCTCTCCTCTCCTCTTTTTTATTTTTCTCTTTCTTTTTTATTATTTCCTCTTTCTTTTCTATTCTCTTTCTTTCTTTCTCCCTCTCTTTTGCTGTCTTTCTCTCTCTGTTTCCCCTCTTTCTCCCTCCTTCCCTTCATTTCTCTCTTCCTCCCTCTGTTCCTTTCCTTTCCTTTCCTTTCCTTTCCTTTCCTTTCCTTTCCTTTCCTTTCCTTTCCTTTCCTTTCTTTCCTTTCCTTTCCTTTCCTTTCCTTTCCTTTCCTTCCTTTCCTTTCCTTTCCTTTCCTTTCCTTTCCTTTCCTTCCCTTCCTTTCCTTCCCTTCCCTTCCTTCCTTCCCTTCCCTTCCCTTCCTTCCCTTCCCTTCCCTTCCCTTCCCTTCCCTTCCCTTCCCTTCCCTTCCCTTCCCTTCCCTTCCCTTCCCTTCCCTTCCCTTCCCTTCCCTTCCCTTCCCTTCCCTTCCCTTCCTTCCCTTCCCTTCCCTTCCCTTCCCTTCCCTTCCCTTCCCTTCCCTTCCCTTCCCTTCCCTTCCCTTCCCTTCCCTTCCCTTCCCTTCCCTTCCCTTCCCTTCCCTTCCCTTCCCTTCCCTTCCCTTCCCTTCCCTTCCCTTCCCTTCCCTTCCCTTCCCTTCCCTTCCCTTCCCTTCCCTTCCCTTCCCTTCCCTTCCCTTCCCTTCCCTTCCCCTTCCCTTCCCTTCCCTTCCCTTCCCTTCCCTTCCCTTCCCTTCCCTTCCCTTCCCTTCCCTTCCCTTCCCTTCCCTTCCCAGACCCCACTTCACGCCGTGCACGGGGGGTTTCAAACATTTATTCCCAAGTGCCTTCATCCCGCGTATCCCTGCTCCTCCTCGTCCTCGCTGCTCTCCTGGACGAGGTCGGGGTCTGCAGGCCCGCAGGCGAGGCAGGTGCCCCCCGTCTCCCCCCAGCAGGACTCGCAGTAGAAGGCAAAGCAGTCGGGATTGGGGCAGGGCTGGTGCTGGGGGGTCTCGGGGGTCCCACACAAGGTGCATCTCCGGCGCAAGCAGCGGCGCAGCCAGGGCCAGCGCCGGCGGCACCACTGCAGCAGCAACGTCCCCTGCAGCGAGGATGGGGCCGTGTGGAGCTGCAGGGTCGAGGGACAGTGGCAAAACCACCCAGCACCCCGTGTCCCTGTCCCCACTCACCAGCTCGGGTGGCTGCCGCGCCCGCCGGGCAACGCGCCCACGCTGCAGGTGCAAGAAATTCTTCCGCTGCCGCAGCAATTTGTTGTACAGGAACAGCACTCGAGTCTTCTCCCTCTGTGCCAGCAAAGACCACGAGGGTCAGCAAACCCACCCCAGAAGGCCCCCCCAGGCTGTGCCCAGCCCTGGGACCGCTCACCTTGGGGAAGTAGAAGGCGGCGATGACGCGGCGCAGGCGGAACGGGTAGACCTGGGCCAGGCAGAGCAGGGCCAGCACGGCCAGGGGCAGGCAGGTGCTCAGGTACTGCTGCCTCGTCATCCCCGTGGGCTGGGGCAGGCAGGCTGGGGACACGGCACTGCTGTGAGACCCCTGTGACAGCCCCTGGCCGGGCGTGGGGCTGGGGTGGGGGTTCCATCCCTGGCAGGGGCTTACCGAGGTTGGAGGTCTCCACTTCGGTGTCGAAGGAGGCGTTGAGGGCTCCGATGGTGGTCCGCAGCAGCTCTGCCATCAGGGATGTGCCCATCACGTTCACGGACAAGTGGTGGCTGGCTGTGGGGCGGGAGGATAGGGAGGCTGAGGAGGGGGTGGCAGGGCTGAGGGGGTCCCTGCATTGCTGAGGGGCATGGTGGGATTGCAGCCGGCTCTCCACAGCCGTGAGCTCACTTTGGTAGGAATACTCGATAAAGGAATGGTGCTGGATGATGCTGAGAACGCTGAAGAGGAAGTGGTCCAGGCCGCAGACAAAGAGGAGGAAGAGCAGGATTGGGATGCACCTGAGCAGCTCCATCACCTGCAGGGAGCAGGGGAGCTGTCACAGCCTGCTGGCCCCAGCTCTGACCCCCCTGATCACCCCCAGCCCCTCACCATGTGCTGCAGCTCAGGCCGCTGCACGGCCAGCTTGCACGGGAAGATGAAAGACGAGGTCTCCTCCCGGAGCAGGGGCAGCAGCGTCTGCTTGTTCTGGGTGAGGGACAGGGGGTGTCTCAGAGCAGCCTCTGGGACACCCCACTGGTGGTGACGGGGCTGCCCTGCACCCCTTTCCCCCTGCCCAACCTGCTCTCTACGCCGGGCATCGATTTGGCGGAAATAGGTGGTGATGTAGCAGTTGTCAAAGCCGATGTTGTGACAGTATTGATAGGTGTAGTGGAAAGCCCTGGTGAGAGAGGATAGGTCTGGGGTGAAGGGGGCACTGGGTGAAGCCCCCAGGACCCCTCTGTTGTCTTCATGTTCCCCCCAGACGTGCTGCCAGAGAAGGCCCCCACCCCTCTGTGCCCTGCAGCTGGCACAGGGGTGTCACCCCCACCCCCTGACCATCCCATGGCTCACGAGA